AACACGTCTTTATGGAATTAACAACCATTATTTTAGTTACAAAACAATATACACATTATATAACAGCTACTATACGAGATATTTTAAGCATACCAATTATTATTTATTTATGATATGTCGACATTCCGATGAATCCATATACGCATCAGATTATTCCATATACACTTTTTAAATAATTAGTTGTTTATATATTTTGACTACAAACCTTTGTTTAGTTGTGTAACTTCTTTATTAAACTATATATATAAGACATACCTAATTAATCGGGTTCAATCAATTTCCATAACACATCCGGTACGAAACTGATACCAAATTCACTAAACTTGGTCATGCGCTCATATCCCCTTTTCTTTGTTAAGGGTTAAAACTGCGTACTGACGATTTTATTTCTGTTATCTTCGAAATTTTTGACTGAAGTGTAAGTAGAATCATAAACAAAATAGATTCGTGCTCTTAGAGTTTTATTATGATATTATTAAGATAGAAATCTAAACTGGAGAATGAAATAACACATTAAAGAGCTTTATAGAAATGCAAGAAAACAAAAAAAAAGTTTTAGATTGTCACCAAGAATAAAATGATTTTAGATTGATATTGCATCCTTTTTTTTTTTTTTTGTCAATCAAAGTATAATTAAAATATGCAAACGTAGTTGGTAATCCAATTAGGGGAGAGTTACTTATAAAATAGAAATCAAATAACTCTAACACATACTGAAAAGACCAAACAATCCGTCTTTAAATTAAAAGAGCGAGATATCAAAGACAAAGAAAAGCGGCAATATCAAAAACAAAATTCAAAAAGTCGTCCTTTAAATACCTAATCCAATTAGCGCATCCTCTTTTATATATTACGATACAAATAAGTGTAGTAGTTATGAACTTTTATTTGAATTTTGTTTGTTACAAAGTTCCAGACGGTAAATAAAACTTCGGAAACTAAAAAGATTTCTTTTTGTCAACATAAACTATAAAATTTATATTTTGGCTCTCCTCTTCGAATTACTTTTTTTTCGTTAGACATATTGAAAAACTAAATTTATATTTTGGCTCTCCTCTTCAATACAATAGGTAATTCAGTTTGGTTTTAGGTATTTTCGAGGTTCTAACCATTTTTCAAAAAAAATTAGTTTGATTTCTCAGCATAAAATGTACATAGAAATCTGTTTGGTTATTATATTTGCCTGAATTATGAAAATGTTAGATAAAGCCCAATACATTAACACAGGCCCAATACGTAGTCGAGAGAGAGTCCCGACTTTATCCTTTAAATCTCGACTCGGTCAACTCAGTCGAACAGAAGTGAGTTTATTTCATGACTCGCTCTTGTCGTCTACCTCTGCAAATCCCACACACAATCTTAATAGTCATTTTCAATATAAATCTCATCGAGATCACAACAATGGTTTCTTTCTTCCTTCGTTACAAAACCAAATCTCAGTAGCTGAGATTCTGTGTTTAATACATAGATTCAGTAGCCTCCTC